AAAATCCCACCCATTCATCGAAAAAATAAACATTTGCATCAGGATTTTCAACAAGGGTATCACTAAAATTATCAATAGGAGCAACATTATCATCACCAACATTATTAGTATCTCAATTGAAGATTACTCAATAAATTGTACCTACCCGAAAAGGTTAGAGAACTCAATTGAGTCAAAGAGGAGAACAAAGAGTAAAATAGAATGTATGTGGGTAAAATCAAATTATTTGGATTTGAATTTAAACCAAAAACTAAGTATAATATTACTACTTAAACTAAGTAATTCAGATTTTAACCTTTTACGACTGCTTGCTTGGGTGGTGTGATTAATGAGAAGAATACTAATTGCACATATAAGATATAGGCTCATCATTTAGTTAGTGCTAGTCACTTTATTTCCCAAGCAATTTGAACAAAAAATGATTCCATATCTGAACTCTGAAGGCCCGTTTAAGCTTTAAATTAATTAGAGGCAATAATTATTTAATTAAAAGTAGTCCTTTTGTTTTCCAAGCAATTTGGGCCAAAACAGATTACTTATCTTGAAGCCCGTTTAAGCTATATATTAATTAGAGTCCCATCAGCAGTCAGCTCTCTTTGTTTTCCAACCGTTGTGAGCCTATTAACAGCTATATAAAAATTACTTCGAGTGAGACCCGCATTCTTCTGAGACACTCCAAACACTCTCGCTCCACGAATTGGTCACCTAATGTAAGCTATTGATACTGTCTTGTGTCCCGGTTATTCAAGCTTAGGGATGGAATGAAGTTTTTGAAGATGTCTCAAACTCAAATTGGTGTTATTAGGCGCCTAGCTAGCTAGTTGGTGGTAGTCATAATCACAAGTATACTAATCGTGGGTGGAAATTTAAACGTGTGGATTAAGAGACAGCATTCTGTTTTGTTAAGTAAGGTAATTAAGTAGGTAAGCATGCCGGAAACTAAATTGCACGTGGGTATTATTCTTTTCCCTTTTTAGTGGGAAATTCGGATGTTCATACGTCAAAAAATTCCAACCAAATAGATAATCTTGTAGCTCCTTACGAGGTATTGGTTTCATCAGTGGACCTGTTTTTCACTTCCTTCTGCTGTGCTTCATCCATGGAAACTTCAGCTTCTTATCTCTTCGAATTAGGTATTTACGTATGGAGGTTGACCATCTTTTACGCCCTCTCTGGTAAGCCTGAATTTTGTTTCTCACGACCCACAAACAAAAACCGTTCAAATCAGGTAAGACAATGGACAGCAATGAATGATGTCACCACCGTAGATTTAAGGAGACATATATACGTAATTTAGATCGATGATTGAATGTTAGGAGTGGATCCATTGACAAAAGTAATGATTTTTACGGTACAAGATCGACCTCTGGAGATCCGTTATTAGGTGTTGGGTTTGTAAAATTGAAGGTTCGGATTAAGAAATATAGGAAATTCCTACAATGCCTTGAAGTAAGGAAATTCCTACAATGCCTTGATTTTTACGGTACAAGATCGACCTCTGGAGATCCATTACGTAAAAGAAGCCTCCACTACGTGAGAGTTAAAAATATACTGTCGGTAATGAATTTCTTCTCCAAATGAAAAAACAATACATATTTATAGGTATATCAACCATACTCAATGATTCGTACCAGATCATATGATACTGGAAAAGTCAGTGATATTATATTTTATACTAAAATCGTGATTCGACCCTGACTTAACCGTTTCATATTGCTAAAACCGTCTACCAGTTTAACATCTGATACCTCATATTACGATTTCATTAGCTTTCTTTCACTCTCTCCATCCACGAAAGTGATATGAAACACTGGAGTCCATATACATATTACAACAAACGAGTGGCCCCTAAACTTCTACTGAATGAAATACGCCATTGACTCTTCTTTACTTTCTTCTTTGTGGCTTCCTTTGTGCATATTGATCGCTACCTCTTTGATGGTAACATCACAGCTGAGAATACGATAAGGAGAAACTCGCTCTCTCGTCTCATCTGCGACCCTTTAATCAAAAGATGAAAGAAATTAAAGCAGAGCACGACAAGATACGGAATTCTAGTTTTATATATATGCACTTGTGTTGTGCATACGTGTAATCTTTTCCAATGCGTTGGCCGGCTCCCATTTGCGGGAAGAACAACAGAGAATGAGGTAAATTGTATATTGTTTTTTCCCCGTGTGTGTGAAGGAATATATTAGGTAGTATTCATGTATGCAACTATGGCTTATTCTCTCATCATAGTCACCAACACAGTTGTCAGAAACTAATTGATACCAATAACTCGAGTTGTTGGGAGAGATTTTATAGAGGATCATATATCATTTACTAACAGTTATATTCCCATTGTTCTCCCAAAACCCTAATCAATGATGACATGGCTTCTAAAATCAACTTTCATGCTACTATTTTAAGTGGAACGTTTTGTATGTGTCGGAACCATGTAGCTCAATTAGTACGAATATTGACTGTTTTGGGTCAAGTTCGTACTAATTTACTTCTGGTTATCTACTCTTAAAAGGCTCAGTACTGATTGGCCTAGGTGGGTACTAATATACAAGTGTCTTTTCCCTTGTATTCCCAACGTGGACTTGAATTGTTCCATAACTATCATTACCTCAAGATAAGGACCATGAACTTTGTGTTCTCTCCTCTGCGATTATCTTGATCCGCCAGACATCTTGTATCGATAGACTATTCGGCACAAGGATTCTCCAGATGTAGATAGGGATGGCAATGGGTCGGGTCGGGGACATCTTGATCCGTTGCCCTACCCAAAGTAGTTCGGGTTTTACCCATAACCACATAAAAAATGGGTAGCAAATCTAAATCATGCCCATACCCGTTCGGGTTTCGAGTATTCATGGTTATCCATGGGTAATAATTTATCTTTATAACTCCAACCAATATGTTAATATTCACACGTATTCTCATGTTACGTAAGACGAAAAGTACGACAATCATTCACTGGAATGAAGAAAATTAATTAAAGCAACACAATTTCATAAATATTATATTTAGATGCTTAATATAAAATATATTAATTATTTCGGGTTTTACCCGATCCACTAAAAGTCTTTCGGGTTCGAGTTTTAACCTACCCGATTAGGTCAAATTCGGGCGGATATCCATGGTTACATATATTTTTACCATCCCTCGATGCAGATCTCCTTGACCCACTGGACAATATGCGAATCTCCTCTGATCTGCCAAACAAACGCATATCTCAAATCTCGAGGTTATCAAATGAGGGTCCACCATACTGACGTCCAGCAACCTGAACTGAAACTTGGAACCAACCTCTAATATCACTTGTCAAGACTAGGTAGCTCATATAGTGGCTAAAAAGAACCTTGCTTTGTTCCCAACCTCTATAATAAGTTTAGATTTTTGGGGTTCGCTTCGATATGAAACTTTAACCTTATATCTTTATTGTCAAGTCAAATGATCTTTTGAAAAGAAAAAAAAAGTTACAATTAATTCTATTTTCTATGCAAACAATGAAACAAACACATAAAACCTCTTTTTTAAAGGGTTAATACCTTAGTTTGGCCCGAACTATACACATACTTTCTACTTTGGCCCGAATTATTGAATATTGCTACTAGGGCCTGAACTATGTAGCAAACTTCCTCCTTTGGCCTGGAGGCGGGTATGACCGTCAAATTAGACGGTCAAACCTGTTGACCGTTAGTCAACGTACACCTCGCCAGCTCCAGCTCTATCGTCAACATCACCATCAGCCTCTCCCTGGCGCCGAAACTCGGACGACCTCAAACTGGAGGGCAGATAACTCTCCTTTGCCGGAGGAACAGAGCCTCTCCCTGGCGCCCTAGGTGCAGGCTTTTCCAATCGCGGTCCCTCCGCAGCGAAAGGGACGAGATCGCCGAAGGAATTGGTCGGCTTCTGGCTCAATCGGAGGACGGCGGGGCTCCCTCGATCTCGCTCGTTCATCTCGTAGACGTGGAGCTCCTGAACTTTGGCTGCAAAAAATCGAAATCGAAATTAATAAAATAAAAAAGAAATCTGAATTGACAGAGCAGGAAGAGAGAGAGAGAGAGAGAGAGAGAGAGAGTAGTTACATGGAGGTCTGGCGTCGTCGGAGGAAGCGGCCTGGCTAGTGCAAGAGAAGGATCTCCTGCTTCCAGTGAAGGAGGAAGCGTGCTTGAGGGATCCAGGGTTGCGGAGCTTGAGAGGCAGCTGGAGGAAAGTAGTCTTGCCGGCGGCGGTTGGCAATGCTCTAACAACTGGATTGGATAGTTTGGAGGATGCGTCGACAGCGAGGAAGGTGGAGGCGGCCATTTTTTCCGGGTTGTGGATCGGGATCGGGTCGTCAGCCCTCCATAGTCTCCGGTTGATGCGGGAGGATAAGGGAAGTGAAGGGCTGAGATAATTTTGGGCTTTTTCTTTTTTTTTCGTTCTTTTATTTGATTTTTTAGTTTTTTTTGGTATAAGAATTATATTATTAATGTTATTAATCGAAAGAAAAAAAATAAAAATAAAAAATAATTTTTTTATGTTTCTCCAATCTGATGTGGCAGGTGAGGTGTACGTTGACTAACGGTCAACAGGTTTGACCGTCTAATTTGACGGTCAAACCTGTCTTCAGGCCAAAGAAGAAAGTTTGCTACATAGTTCAGGCTCTAGTAGCAAAATTCAATAATTCGGGCCAAAGTAGAAAGTATGTGTATAGTTCGGGCCAAACTAAGGTATTAACCTTTTTTAAACGCAAGAACATGCAAAATAAAGAATTTCAACCCAAATATCACAGTACCGCCCTTCCTTTCCCCTTCCCTACCCCTCAAGTAACTACTCTTAAGTCTTATCTCCTTCTCTTTTTTGGTAGAAAACTACTCTTATCTGTTTACCTGTAAAAGTAAAAGTAAAAAAAAAAAAAAAAAAAAACCTCCATTGACCTCAGATCTGTTTACCGGTAAGAAATGGAAAATCCCACATTGTTTGTAACCTCTACAGTCCCCCATTGCTTTCACAAATGGGGAAATGGAAAGAGAACAGAAAGCAGAGCATTTTTGTCCTGAGATGGAAGGGCACGATCGTCAGTTCATTCCTCTCGCCATCTCCAAATCTCCGTCTCCGGCCGCTGCCCACTCCTTATAAACCCATTTCCTTCTCCAAATCCTGAAAGAAGAAAAGAAGAAAAAAAATAGAAAACCTATCATCTCCTCTCTCCCCTGATTCCATCTCTCCCAATCGTGTTTCCCTTCTGAACTTACCCAACTCTGATTTCCCCACCGCCGATTCTGAGCAGTGATGGGTGTGAGCTGCTGCCGGTGCTCCCACAATTCCTACATAATCATCACCAGCTTCTTTCGTCATAAGTCTTAGATATATTTTCACCGTGATCAAAAGGGGAAAGAAGGAGAAGACTCTGTTTTTCGCTGCGCTGTGACACGACTCAGATTCGGAGAACTGTTCGATTTTTTTTACAGTGACGGTTGTTTTGCCTGAGCTTGCCTTTGTCAATGGCAGCTTGAGGGGAACACACCAAACGAACAAAAAGAACTTGTGGGATCTAGACAACACAAACAACTCACCTGTTTTTCCGTTTTCCATTTTCTCTTGCGGGGAAGCAAATCTCAGAAAGAAAAAAGCTACTGACTTTCGGAAATTTCATGGCGGCGTGTGCTAGCGGCGGCGGCGGCGGCCGCGACGGTGGCGGTTTGGGTACTGTCCTGCTTCAGACCCATCGAGGAGGCGCTTCTCAGCCCCTTGGATCGTTCTTCCTGCCTTCGTCTTCTTCTTCTTCTCCTTCTTTCCTCGGTAAAAACCCTCCCCTGTTTCTGCTCTGTTTTTTTTACTCTATTTTTCTTGCTCACGGATCTCTGTTTCTGCTCACTGAAACTCTGAATTCTTGTTTTTGAATTTGTATATGCTTTGTTTAATGGCTTCAGATTCTGTGTCCACCTTGTGATTTGATTATCAAGATAGGATCTTTCCATTTTATTTTTGGGTCAACGAACAATCTTGATCCTCTGTTTTCCTCTGTACTCTTCCAGGTCCAAGATCCATAGTCCGTTTCGACGATACGAACGGATCAACAACAACAAGCAGGCCCTTCTTCACCGCATTTGACGCCGACGAAAACGGCGACGACGACTTAGACGAGTATTTCCGGCAACCGGAGAAGAAGAGGAGACTCTCGGTGGACCAAGTCCAGTTTCTCGAGAAGAGCTTCGAGGTGGAGAACAAACTGGAGCCCGAACGCAAAATCCAGCTGGCCAAGGACCTCGGCCTGCAACCTCGGCAGGTCGCTATTTGGTTCCAGAACCGCCGCGCACGGTGGAAGACCAAACGGCTGGAGAAAGATTACGACGCTCTCCAATCAAGCTTTGACGCTCTCAAGGCCGACTACGATGGCCTTCTCAAGGAGAAAGACAAATTGAAGGCCGAGGTAAACCACTAAATTGAATTCCCCGTATTTAAATCAAAGCAAGTTTAAATATGAACTTTTATGGTTGAAGTTTTGCACAATCTCTAGGCAAACTTAGAGGTTGAAGCATCAATTAAGGAAACGGTATAAGATTGATATTCGTTGCAAATTTCGGATTAATGAATTGACTTTGATTTGAGGTATTGATTAGCATAATGATATAAGATTTATATTTAGACTCTCAAGAAGGTTACAACCACATCTAAACAATACTTAATTATGCTTCTAACGCTCAACGATTAGTTATTGTGATGAATTAGTTCTTCAACTTAGGCAGCTCATTCATTCTGTCGATTTTTTCTCTTCAAGCTCCATCAATGGAATCATTCATGGGTTTCATTAAAGTTCCAAACTTTGTTCTTCTGCAGATCAATTTGCTGACAGACAAGCTGCAGAAGAAAGAGAGAGCTACGGGAACCTTGGACTTGTCTCACAATGATGCCATGTCTCGAGAAATACCATTGGAGAAACCAATTGTGGATTCTTCAGGAGCTGGTTGTAAGCAGGAAGATATAAGCTCAGCGAGAAGTGACATATTCGATGCAGACAGCCCACATTACACAGATGGTGTCGTCCACTCATCACTGCTGGAAGCTGGAGATTCGATTTCGTCCTATGTCTTCGAACCAGACAACCAGTCGTCGGATCTTTCTCAGGACGAAGCCGATAATCACAACAACAACAATTTCTGCTGCAGGAATCTGCTGCCTGATCAGTATGTGTTCCCGAAGCTGGAAGATGAGGATTACTCGGATCCTCCTGCAAGTTTCGAGGACCAGGCCTTTTGGTCCTCCTGGCCGTACTGAAATCGACCACTTTGCTAGTAGCTCTTCGATCCTTTTGGTATGTATGTGTATAAATAAATGATGTGTGGTGAAAGAAGGGTGTTATTTATGGTTTTGCTGCTGTTTGTTTGGTGCTTAAGAGGATATGATTGGAGTCATGATTGCAAATAAATAAGGAAAATCCTCAACTGAGATAGAGAAACCCTATGTTGTTGGAAAACTCCTAAAATGTGGTTAATTGGGTGTTTCTCTTTTTGGGGTGGTTCCCTTTTTGTTGTTAATAATGGGTGGAGGGGAGTCATTAGAGGGGTTTAATGAGAATGTTCTTGTTGGTGGTGGGCAAAAATCAATCATTTAAATAAATTTACTTCTTCTGTTAATAGTCCTAAAGTGTGGGAATCTTAGCGCAAAACAAAAGGAATGATCTTGTGATAGTGTAAGCCAACTAGACTATGGTGCATACATGCTAACTGTGATAAGGATTTCACAAGCGTATGTCGCTATTTAATAAGTTGTAATTTTGTTTTCGTATTCATGTAATGGTCACGATTCGTCTGTACGTAATTCAAGAGTATGAAATCCGTGTGAAATCCCTCTCGTAAATCGCATGCGAAGAGAATAGCAAAATTAGCATATTAGTAACTTGATTGGTGAGTGTCCTGTATTCAAGGGCCATAAAAGGTAGTAGGTAGGGCTGGGCATGCGGGCGGATCATCCGCGAGTTTGGGCCGACCTACCCGCATTTGACCCGAATTTCGTTAAGTGGGTGGGTGACGGGTTGCACTGGGAGCCATCCGCCGGGTGGTGGGTGGGTTGTGGGTAAGTGTGCAGGTGACCCGCTCAACCCAACAGCAAAAAGATCAAAGTCGATGGCGCTAGAGAGAGGAGAGTGGAGACGTTAGATATAAACTCAGACTGCTCCTGGAGTTTGAACCTCAAAGCCAACCTTCCAAATAGAGATCCCCCTCTTCTTCCCTTTACTTTTTCCTCTAATTCTTGTGACTAGATCACTGCTCTTTCCTTTGTGAAATTATTTTCCTTAGTTCCTTGCACCTAATAATCGTCTCAATCTGTAGAAAACTCTTTCATAATAAAATTTCTATCCAATTTAAGAACTAATTCGACATTTTTTGCCCTATTTTAACGTCTTATTTCCCTCGATGATTCTCTTCACCTATTATCATGTCAAGTTGACTCCTTTATATTATATACATTGTTATGTGGGTGAACCCACAAACCCACCCGCATCATCCACCATCCGCCCGACCCAACCCGAGACTAAATGTGGGTGGGTGGTGGGTTAAAAATTATCAATTCGTTTAAGCGCGGGTGGGTACCTTTTATAGTCAAAATCCACCCGACCCACCCAATGCCCACCCCTAGTAGTAGGTTATGAATCAATGTTGTGGACTTTCATTCGGAAGGTTAAGTGCGACATATTTTGTACTTCCTGTGATCTGTCAATGCATATTGTTTAACACTGGAGAAATATGCATTGAATACCATTTGTCTTTGTTTGTTAAAAGAAGAAAGCACTTTGTTACTAGGGATGGAAGTCAAAAGTGATCATCTTTATCTATGGGCCATCCTTTTCTTTTAAGGACACCTGGAAGGTTTGTTACGTGACCATGATTTAGACAAATTTTAATGTTTGTTATGATTGATATGAATTGAATCGGACTATCAGCCGCTGCAACTGGAAGTCATGGGGCTTAATGTTATTTGGGTTCGGGTGCTGAGCATGGTTGTAACCAGTGTTGTCAAAACCGAACCGGCCATCGTTCCAGATTAATAAGAGGTTTAAGGTTTATCGAATAACCGGTATTAGAAACCGGTCATAAACCAGTGCTGGCCTATAATATCTCCACTCTAGTCTCTACAAATAAGGAAGAATAGAGAGAATTAATGAATTCAAAACTGAAAATGTAGAAGGTTAGGGACTGTTAATGCTAGGATACGGCAGGAAGTGGGGATGAGAATTAAATTTTGTTTCCTTTTTCTCTTATTTTTAATGTAAGTTTTCCTTTTCACGTTGCCTTGTTCTTTGTTCCAAAATTTTAATTGCAAGGAACATAAAAGGCAGGCACCCAATGTTTTTGGAAGGTGTGCTTTGATCCAGTGATAGAACGACCATTTTTTCACTTCCGGGACCGGATTAGTGGTCGGGTGCGGGTTGTTCCGGTCTGACCGCCGGTTTGGCCCGGGTTTCATAACAATGGTTGTAACCGCTTTTTCTTTACCATATTGGATTGGGGTTAGATTAGACCTAGAAGAAGTACTATAAATACTTCTCATACTTCTCTGTAATCTGTATCTTCTCAAGTATAGTGAAAAATGACTCTCTCATGCTCGTGAACTAGCTAACATACATTGTATTAGTGAATCACGTAAATCGTGTGTCGTGTGTGTGCGCTTTCGTTTTATGCATTGTCGAATCCTCCTATTTCCCGATTCGTAGAAAATAGTCGTGAGAAGTGGTATCAGAGCGCCGGATGAAAATCAGACTAGGATTTTGATTATAAAGAATGATGTCAGTAAACATGAAGATCAATAAGTTCACGGGGAAGAACAACTTCGCTATATGGCAGATCAAGATACAGGCTTTATTGAAATAGCATAGGCCGTCGGGGCCACTATCTGCGAAACAGAAGAAGGAAGCGGTTGATGACGATGAGTGGAATACCCCGGAGAAGGCCCACTCGACCATCATGTATCCATGTTTGATGACATCATCATTGAAGTCGCTACTGAGAAGACTACTGCGGGCTTGTGGTTGAAGATGGAGAGTGTGTACATGACTAAGTCCTTAACCAACAAGCTGCATCTCAAGGAACGATTGTTCAACTTGAGGATGCAAGAAGGTACGCCTTTGATGAAACATCTGAAACAACTTAATTTTATTTTGTTGAATTTGCGCAATATAAATGTGAAAGTTGATGATGAAGATGTTTTCCTAATCTTGCTTGTGTCTTTATCGAGTTCATATGATAATTTCGTAGATCCTTTTATTGTTAGTAAAGATAGCTTGTCGTTGGAGAAAGTCAGATATGCTCTTCACACGAGATAGATCAGGCATAAGACGTCCGGATCTCGTACAGGTGGTGAAGCATCGGGGTTGGCTGTTATAGGTGGAAAGGGAAAGAAGAAATCTGGTAAAGGGAATTCGAACAGAAACTTAAATTCTAAGGGTCTCGGATCACATCCAAGTAATGACTGTCACATCTGTAAGAAAGTGGAGCATTGGAAGTACAACTGTCACAGAAAGATAGGGCATCAGAAGAATCAAGTTTCTGTTGTCGTGGCAGAAGTAGACACCAGTTCTGAAGACGATCTCACATTGAGTGTAGATGAGAAGGCACATCATGATGATGTGTGGTTTTTGGATACTGCAACCTCATATCATGTCTCCGAATAAGGACTGTTTCTCAACCTACGAGCAGATAGATGGTGGTAACGTTGTTATGGAAAATGGAGTTGTCTGCAATGTGGTTGGAATCAGGTCTATAAAGATTCAGACACATGATGGTTTGTTCTGAACCATGAACGAAGTCAAGCATGTTCCACAGATGACGAATAATTTAATCTCCTTGAGTCTTCTTAACAGCAAGGCTCCCAGTTTAAATGGAAGAAGTAGAGTTGTGTATGTCTGCAAAAGTTCAAGGAAGGTGCTGAAGGGCGTGAAGCGTGGGAATTTGTATGCATTACAAGGGTCTGTGTTGTCAGGTTCTGCTGCAGTTGCGTCGTCTAAGGTTCCACATGAAGATATGACCACTCTCTGGCACATGAGATTGGGTCATATGAGTGAACAAGGGATGCAAGTCTTGTCATAGAGGGATCTTCTTTGTGGGCACAAGGTGCAAAATTTAGAATTCTGTGGGCATTGTGTGTTTGGGAAGCTACATTGCAGCAAGTTTCCTAATAAGGGCATCCACCGGACGAAGGGGATACACGATTACCATCACTCTGACTGTCGGGGTCCTTCACGAGTTGAATCCATTGGAGGTAGCATGTATTTTCTGTCTATTATTGATGATTACTCAAGGTCTACTTGGATTTTCATGATAAATCAGAAAAGTGAAGCCTTCACAAAGTTCAAGCAGTGGAAGACTTTGGTGAAGAATCAAATCGGTAAGAAGATCAAGAAACTTCGAACGGACAATGGTCTGCAGTTCTATAGTTCTGAGTTCAACGAATTCTGCAAGAATGAAGGGAGTGTCCGTCATCGGACCGTTAGAGACATATCATAGCAGAATGGCGTTGCAAAAAGGATGAACCATGCATTGTTGGAGAGAGCAAGGTGCATGCTCTTTAATGCTAGACTAGAGAGGAGGTTTTGGACAGAAGCAGTAAACATGGCATGTTACCTCATCAACCGTGGACCTCACACGAGTATCGAGTGCAAAACTCCTTATGAGGCGTGGTATGGTAAGCCTGCTAATTACTCTTGAAAGTTTTTGGTTGTCTTGTTTACTATCATGTGGATGAGGGTAAGCTGAATCCAAGAGCAAAGAAGGATGTTTTGTGGGTTTTGGAAATGGAGTTAAGGGATTTTGAGTCTGATCACCTTCTGAGCATAGAGTTATACTTAGCAGGAATTTGATATTTGATTAGAAGTACATGTTTAACCACATGTTCAAAGTTACTATTGTTGGAGATAGCAGGAATGTTGATGAACAGGTGGACCTGCAAACTCTTAAAGAGAGTGAGTTTGAGCACCAAGGTGGAGAAGATCAACATGAGGATGTTTCTGATGTGTTAGAAACTTCACAGTCCAGTGCAGGAGCTCAACAGTCTATAGTTTCCGGTAGACCCGAGAGAGCGATTGCAGGAGTACCTCGACAGAGGTATGGTTTCGAAAACATGGTGGCGTATGCTTTTCAGGTTGCTGGAGAGGTGGATGCAGTTAACCACAATCATACAGAGTAGCAATTTCGTGTAGTGAAGCCGCGTAGTAGCTCGCTGCAATGAGGGACGAGATGGAATCCCATGACAGAAATCATACTTGGGAGTTGGTCAAACGTCCACAGGGAAGGAAGATTGTTACAAACAAGTGAATCTACAAGAAAAAGGAAGGAATCACTTCTGAAGAGGGCATTAAATTTAAATCTCGGGTAGTTGCAAGAGGCTTCTCGCAGAGGGAAGGAGTTGACTACAATGAGATTTTCTCATCAGTGGTCAGACACACTTCGATCAGAGTGTTGCTAGCGATAGTGGCACATTATGACTTTGAGCTCGAGTAGCTAGACGTGAAGACAACTTTCCTACATGGCGAGTTGGAGTAAGAAATTTACATGATTCAGCTAGAAGGGTTCCAGGTTCCAGGAAAAGAGGATTGTGTTTGTAAGCTGAAGAAGTCATTGTATGAACTTAAGCAACCTCCGAGGTAGTGGTACAAGAGGTTTGACAGCTACATGTTTGAGCTGGGCTACAATAGAAGTCTCTATGATTGTTGTGTATATCACACCAAGGCAACGGATGGTTCAATGATATATATGGTTCTGTATGTGGATGATATGCTCATAGCTGTGAGGTTGAAGTCTGATATCCAGAGGTTAAAAGGGCTTCTCAGTGTTGAGTTTGAGATGAAGGATTTGGGAGCTGCTCAGAAGATTCTGGGTATGAAAATTTACAGGGATAGGTCGAAGAAGAAGGTGTTCTTGTCACAGAAGAGCTACATCCAGAAGATATTGTCCAAGTTCGGTATGTCTTCAGCAAAGCCCTTAAATACTCCTAGTGCTTCTAATGTTCTTATATCCTTAGTTTATGCACCGCAGTCGTAGGTTGAGAAGGAGTACATGTCGAGAGTCTTATATGATAGTGCAGTTGGTAGTTTAATGTATGCTATGGTCTGCACTAGACCTGATCTTGCACATGTTGTTAGTGTTGACAACAGGTTCATGATACAACCTATGAAGGATCATTGGCAAGCTGTGAAGAGGATCTTCCGGTAACTTAAGGGTACATCTGATGTGGGAATTAGCTTCAGATGTGATACGGAGTGCTTAGTGGCTAGTTATTAAGATTCTGACTATGTTGGAGATGTTGACACGAGGAGATTCGGACTATCAGCCGCTATGCGAGAAGTCACGGGGCTTAATGTTATTTGGGTTCGGTTCTGGGCCTGATTGTAACGGCTTTTCCTTTACCATATTGGATTAGCGTTAGACTTAGGAGAAGTACTATAAATACTTCTCATACTTCTCTGTAATCTGTATCTCCTCAAGTATAGTGAAAATTGGCTCTCTCATGCCTGTGGACTATCTAACACACATTATGTTAGTGAACCACGTAAATTGTGTGTCATGTGTGTGCGTTTTCGTTTCTTGCATTGTCGAATGCTCCTATTTCCCGATCCAAAAAAATAGTCGTGAGAGTTACTATAAGTAATAGATATAGAGCACATCATTAGGTATTGGTGACCTTGAAAAAAAAAAGGTATTGGTGACGATGATATATATGCAGTTCCTAGTTGTGCTAATAACCCGCATAAGTTTGAAAAGTCGAAAGGGTTTCCCTTTTTAGAACTTCTATGAATTTCGGTTATTCATGCTAAATTTTATTTTCATGATGAAAAATTATATGTGTCGACTGATTTTGTTGGATTTCGAGTTGGTAGTGTAACCGTACGGGAAGGAGCCACGTTGATGACATAAGAGGATATAGTTTTTATCAATCCTCAAAATCATGTAAA